ATTCTTATGAAGAGCTCATATTATATATTTAATTTTTCATAAATAAAGTTGATCTTGTTTATTCAATAGTGATGTTGAGTGAACTTAGAATATAAGTATTGTGATTCTATTCTATAGAATTACAAGAATCTGAATCAATTTGATGTAGACATTATAAGAGCAAAGATGATGAGCATTGTAATCTGCTTTTGTGACTACTTATCACAATGAAGAGAAACAAAATATTTTCTTAGAGAATACAAAATCAATTTATTTATGCATATAGTCATGTTTGAAACAAAAAGAGAGAGACAAAGAGAGAGAGAGAGAGAGAGAGAGAGAGAGAGTTTGAGATTGTTTTGTAGAAAGAACCATCTTAGATGGTAATACGTGATTAATGTTGATGACCTTTGTTGATATTAGAAAATCTCTTTATTAATGGATAAGTACAAATTATATCAAGAATAATATACTAGACACTAAGAGATTTTAGTAGAAGATTTGAAATAATAAATAATAGGAATTAAAGGTAAAAATAGCTAATTTTAATCTTTTAAAATAATAGAGTGAGCATATGCCATTTAGTGAAGTAATATTTTAATAAGAATTTGTAAGACTTTGGCATCTAAAAACTTGCACATAAAGCTTCAATCCTTTATGTCATATTATATATTAGATTATATTTAAGAATAGTGATTTTGATAGGATTTAATCTTGTAATAAATAAGTTGTCTATATAATGTAGAAAAATGATGATAGAATCACTAATTCTGAAATAATAGATGTTAGAATCAATGGAAGTGCAAATCATGTCTTTCCAATGCAAATTTATATCTATGCAATTGTTCCATTAATAAAAGCTTTGTTTTAAGTTTTATAAAAGAAAATTTGGGTTTATAAATAAGTTTTTATGTTTTTGATATAGAATAATTAAGTAGCTATAACATACAAATATCTTCTTTCAATTGGCATTTAAAAAAATTGTAACTACATCCATGTGATACAATAGCCATCTATAATAAGTTACAAGTATAATAATTAGTGTGATAAATTTCTACCTTATTGTGGAGGTAAAGATTTATTAAAAATTTATGCCATGTTTTTATTTAAAGCCTCAAGCAACAACACAAGTTTTAAATTATTCTAATTTATTATTTATTTTTGGTTTACTTTTAAATATCCACCTAGCTAAAATTTAGTAGATACATATTGGAAGCTCTACTAATTTCTATATATCAATCTTAAAACGTGATTATAATTTAGAATTCATGGCATTGATCCATTTGGATTTTTTTTGCCTACTTATAGCTAATTGATTCTCCATCTTCTTCTAGAATGCTAAGAAAGAATTCTAGAAAGTCAAATCTAATAAAGTCTTTATGAACTTTTGGTACCATTAAATTTCTAGATGATTGTTGTAGTACATTTGATGGTAGAAATTGATGCATGTTGAATTGTGAAAGAAATCTCCTATAATAAGAAATAATTAGTGGCAAATAATCAAGTGTAGACTATGTTGTGAGTGAAGATGGTGATAATTCTATTAGCTCCAGTAGGATGGATAATAAATTATTTTCTATAGAATTAAATGAAGCAAATTTAAAAGCTTGAATTTGCTTGAAGATGATTGGACTTAAACTTTTTATCAAAGGTCTAATTATTACTATTAAGATTATAGTAGAATTAATATTGTAATGTATTCTAGGAATCTTAAATCTTAAAAGATGATGACTTTGTTCAAGACATGATCATAATATCTATAGCTTTTAATCTTATCATCAAAATTGAATTACAAGCATGGACAGGAATGTAGAGCTAATTTATCTTATTAAAGTTTGGTGTGATAAACATAAACAGAATATCCAAATATTTGAAGTTAGAAAATGTCGGATTTGATTTTTGTGAAAAATTCTTTTGGAGTTTTGTTTGGTGACTTCTTTCATTATTTCAAGTTGATACTGTTGCATATTGCACATAAAACTTCTACTAAAAGTTTTCTTCATATATTTATCTGCAAGAAGAAATTCAAAAATAAGTAATAAAATATAATTTTTTAATCTGAGAACACCATTATAATCTGTATAAATTCTCTTTTGATATCTTTTTTAGTATAATAAGTGTTTTAAATATACTAAGTAAATTTTTCTTCATTATTGGATTTAAGAATAATAATCTAATGTTTGGTAAAATTTTTTATTTCGTTATTATAAAATATGAATTAACAAAGTATAAGACTTTGTTTGACAAAATATATATATATATATAAGACTTTTTTTGAATAAATATCTATAAATACCATCAAATATTAAGATATAAGTAATTTTTCTTTAAAAGATCTAACAATATTTATGTAAATTAGTTCAAGAAACTTTGTACATTCTAAGGTTTTGACTTTGAAAACATTTTAGTGGCTCTATTTCTCTTTAAGACAACTTTCATAAATTAAGTTGCTAATTGAAATATTTAAAAAGTTCCTTCATTGTACCAATTCTATCATCTTTCTAAGTCTTTATAAATGATAATGATCAAAAAAAATTTACTGAAGAGATAATAATGAAATATAGGTAGTCATGCTACTTGGTATTTGTAAAATAGAACTTTAGTAGACTTTGGAATAGTTAGAAATTGTGCCTTTTTGTAATCTATATAGTTTTTTTTTTTTAAGAAAATATTAAAATATTTCTTGGTACTTTCTTGATAAGATGTTTATCAACTAAAAACTTAAGAATATATTTTTTTGTTAAAATATAAATAAAGATAAAATTCTTTTCAATATTATAGGAATAAAAAATATAATAGATGATTTGTATATTACTATTTAGTAAGTAAATTGCTACATTAAAATCCTTTATATTGTAGCCTTAATCTTTGGCTAAAATAATTTTAATTCTACTACTAAGAAAAATTAATTAAAATAATAAAGTATCACTTGAGATATTAGTAGAAGCTCTTGAATTTAATTACTTAGGAGTTGGTGATTCATTTGTATCTAAATTATTGACTTTAAAAATGTAAGCATCAATTACATGCAGTACCAAGTCTTTGTTATTTCTAAGATTTTTATCTTAGTCATTATGGTCAGAATCTTGATTTTTTATTTATTCGTTTATTTATTTTGTTTTCTTCTTGACGTAATAAATTGGGTTAGTAATTTCTCATTTTTAACATTCACAATCTGCTCATTTTATGCTATTTGTGTTGTTCTAAACATTGTGCTCTAATGACTACCTCTTGTTGGAAGTCAGGTTGTCATGATAATTCCAAATTTGACATCTCTATAAAAGAACAAAAGTAAGTGTATCTACAAAATGCTAAGAGGCTCACAATCACAGCTTTGATATCACATTACATGCTATAGGCGTAGTGTAGAACTCAGTTCATTGATAAAGTTTGTTGATATGAATATATAGAAGCAACATCTGAAAATTTAAAGAATAAAAGTAATAGTAGTCAAATCTAGAATGACACTATTCTATTGTAAATTGTCAACATTTACAATGTTTACAAACAACTTAGAAGCAATTTCCTTTGCCAATGTAGCAAAGGGACATCATTCATCCTATGACTTGACTGTCTAATTCAAGATTTAAAAACAAAGAGGTTATTAAAAAAAACATAGAGAGGTAAAATAAACCCATGAATAAGCTCCTTCACATTCACAATTGTAAACTATGTTAGATTTGTTTTTGTTGCTCACATCATTTAAGGTTACAAGTGTGCAAACTTGTAAATATTAAACTCTTGATTCTAAATCCCCACATTGTAAATATTTAAAAATATATATATATATATATATATATATATATATTTCTTTTTTCTTTTTTCTTTTAAAAACATTTCTACTAAATCTTTCTTTTTGTATATACAAGCTTTAAATAAAACGCTTGAGATTTAAATTTGACTAAATAAGTACTTAACTTGAAGTACATGTAGTTCTTTGATTAATGGAAGGATCCATTTATCTTTTTATGGGTTTATTTCTATCTTAATTTGTTATATATATTTATTCAATTTGGATGTATTTCTTTGAACTTTTTGAATAAACTAACATTGTCTTGAATATGATGATACAAAGAAGAACAATTATTACAATGCACATATTTTAATAATTGTGATTAATTTTATGATAAATTTATTAATAAATAAACTCTCAAATATTACAAATAAAAAGATTGTCAATCTGTAGTACCTATCAACTAAAACTTTATTTAAGTGTATTAATTTACAGAATAACAAACAGGATTGGTTATTTTGTTATTATCCCACTTATAGAATTACTTATCATTTTACCATTTTTAATTATTAACTTATAGAATTCAATATCATTTTACAAGACTACCATAGTCATCTATATCATTTCCCAAGTTTTAAGTTTTAAAGACCTAGTCATATTGAGGACTCAACACAAAGATGACACTTCACTTGTATAAAAATAAAAATAAAATGACAATATTCTTAGGAAAATTGTGTTGGAGAAACTTGACAAGAGGGATTTTTTCAGAATATACGTTTTTTTCTTTATCTTCATATTTTCAATCTTAAATTTCAAACATAACATATAAATTATTATTTTTTAAATTAAAAAAGGCATTATTATTTTTATATATAAACAATCCAAACTTTTTTTAAGTAGAATTTGAAAATTTTCAGGATATTATTGTAAAAGCCTTCACAAATTGTATCATCTTAATGGAAATATATAATTAGCATCATACCATAGAATGAGTGTATTATTGTTTAATCCCAATGAGACATTACAAAGAACACCTTGTTTCCAATCAAGCTGGTATAATTCCCATTCAAGGGAGGAGAAAAAATCGAAGAATTGCATGAACCCGGTCACCCATGACCACGAGCGCCTAATTTCGTCTACAAAACAATACAATCACATGACACGCAACCACGCCCAGATAAAGCGACGATGAACAGAACAGAATAATTTCATGCATCCAAATGAGGATGATATTCATCCTCTTCGGACGGAATCCGAAAGCTTGGCGAGGAGGAAGGAGATGATGCTGCTGTGTTGCGGGAGCAGGAGGAAGAGGGAGAAAGATAAGCATGAGCTTGCAAGCTTGATCGACGCGTCGTCGTCGTCGTCGTCGTTGTGGTTGTGGTTGTTGTCGTTGTCGTAGTTGTTGTTGTTTAGTTGAGGTTCGGTAGTTGTCTGTGCGTTTGCGACTATGGCGTCTTCGCTGCTCCGCACCTGTTGCTGCACGCCATCCACTGCCGCTGCTGCTGCAGCACCCCTCGCCGAGCCTCGCCGAGGCGCAACCGCATCCAATGTCGCTGTTAGGTTGAGTCAATTGTGCTCGGAGCTTCGGTGGAGTGGTGGCCATCCCACGTCGTTATTTTTGAACAGAGGTTATACGGCTAGGGATTCGCGCAGGCAGAAGCGATTTAGTGCTGTGTGCATGGTGTTGCCCGCCGGAGATACGCAGTAAGTGTGGTCGTTGAGCTGGTTTTAAGCAGCGATGAATTGGAGAGGAATTGAAATTTTGAGTGATTTTGTTGTAGTGCGGTGTTTTTGTTTTTGATTTCGGCTCGAATCGAACCTTTGCGAAGGTTTATGCGGTTGCGCTTTTTGTATTATTGCTTGATCATGTATGTTGATTCTGCTAGTCGGAGGGGCCTCTGATTTGGAATTTGTGTTGTTTCGTGTTCATTTCCAACGTTTCCCAGCAGAGTGGAATCCCCTAAGGTGAACTGGGAGTCCAGGGCCGTGAAATCTTTCAGCATGTCTGAGTTGGAAGCTCGCAAGTTGAGGTACCCTAACACAGGAACAGAGTCGATTCTATTAGGTATTCTTACAGAAGGTGAGTAACGTCTGCCACATGTCAATCATTGTGCATTGAAATGGACATGCATTGAATATTTACGTCGATTCTATTATGTGCTGTCATTGCTTGTTGAAAATTGATGTGTTTCGTAGTCCCGCGACTTTAAGTTCGTTCGCAATATGAGGTCTATTCATTGATGAATCTTGATTAATATGGTTGTACGTAGGTACAAGTGAAGCAGCAAGATATCTTAGAAAGAATGGTGTAACTTTATTTGGAGCTAAGGAGGAGATAATTAAGCTATTGGGCAAAGCTGACATGTATTACTTCAGCCCAGAGCACCCACCTCTCACCGACTCTGCCCAAAAGGCTTTGGAATGGGCTGTTGACCCAAAGAACATACCTGGTAATTTCATTTTGGATCTTTCGAATTATTTTTCTCGTGTTACCCAAATGAAGCTGAACACATTTGCTTGCCACTAGGGTTTAGGGTTTAGGATTGACCATTGTTGATTAAGTGATAAGAGCTGGCTTAGCTCTTCCGAATGCGCATTTGTCGAGCCTCTATTTTAATCCGGTAAATTAATCGAGGTTGTTAACTACTAGTTTTTGATAAGATTAGAACTCATCGAGCTGAACAAGTTGCTAGTACTTGGGAACGATTCGCTGATGGTCCTGACATCCTTAATGGCATGTAACATGTAATCCAGAGGGTGTTTCTGATCGAGAGTTGAGCACGACAATGTTGGTGCTCGGTATCTGGGCTCAGAAGGGTTCGGGTGGTCAAAAAGTACTTGAGAAACTTGGGATCAACGACGAGAAAATTGCTGAGCTTGCTGCTACTGTGAGTGATTTCCTCTGGTGACAACATAGTGTCATGCTGTTGCACGTTCACTGTTATTGAAAATTGATAGTATCCAAACACATAGGGTTCTTAATCAAAAGACTTCGCCAAATTTTGTTTGTTGCGTTCGCTGCTCTTGATCGAAATCGGGCTTGAGTTCCACTTTGTTAATGATGTCCTTCCTTTGGTATTGAGTCGCTCAAGTTTTGAACTGGATTCGCACTGATTCATGTTTTGTCCTTGCAGATGAAAAATTCACCTGCCAGTAACTATCAACAACTAGTAAAATAGGTCGATATTATCCAGGTTTGACCAAACGTCTGGGGCTGAAACCTTCTGCGTAAGAACAAATCGGTGGTCAACTCGCTTCATTAGATAATTGTTTCTGAGCAACATAGCCATTTTATCTGGGAAATTTTGCTTCTGTTTAATGATGTCATACCAATCTGTAGTGAAGTTTCTTGCATGATTTTCAAATAATTGCATCTAACGCTGTCACGTTTCCATGGAAATTAAAATGACTTTCTGGCGTTTTTATGACTGTCTTTAGACTTAGTAATTTGACACATGAAGTTCATCAGGTTAAGTTCTAGCGTTGGTTTTCTTTCCACAAATCCATGCACGAAATCTCTATCTCGGCTACTTCGCAGTATGGATCAGCCACTGCAACTGCCAACTTCCCGTCCAATCCAAACTTGTGTTTTTCCTCAATTGGTTATTTCTAGGTTTTATTTCCTGTTTGCTCACACCAGCACCCTCTTCATGCCAGGGATGTCCACAACCATAGCTTTTGTTATTACTGTTAGTGCTGCCACCTGTTAAGGTCCACGTAACAATAGGGGTGTCCACCTAGCGGTTCCCTTATTCTTTTGCCACCAATTATGTTACCCAGCAGTTGCTTCCACAAAGTATTGTTGTCTCATAGCTAATATTGTGCATCCAAATCGTCACTTTCGATTAGCTGATTTCATACAAAATTTAGTGTCTGCAATTTCACTCATTCAAACATCAATCCATGAAATCCGTTGCACACAAGAAATGTTTCAACAAAATTTTCTATTTGATTGTTGAAATAATTTCAATATTACACCAAAGAAGAAAAGCAAAATTAAGTTCAAACAACCAAATTTCACCAGATTACTTATTTGAAAAAATTAATGTTCATACAAAATCACTTAATAACTTTTCTATATGTATTTGAGTACAAGCTAATATGGGCTTTGGTTACAAAGATTCATTTGAAATCCTTACTAATTTTACTCTTCTCTTTCAAACAATAAATTTATATCAAAGAAACAAAATACAATTATATATATTTGATTTAAGTAGGCCTATTAGAGGTGACATTTCTTATAGTTATTGAGATTAAATTTTTTTCAAGAAAATTCACAAATCTATCATGTTAGATTATGTAAAATCTGTTTTTATTTTTTTATTTTTTTATTATATACATACACATGAATACATATAAATATTTTTTGATTTTTTAAAAACCAATTAGTTTAGTTTAGATGATATTTAATAATAAATGCTTTTGATATTTTGATATTTGTAGTCACAAATAATAAAATTATTATCTGAAAATATAATAAAATAATATATTTTAGAAGATCAATAATCTACATCTATTCTAAAGTAAATTTTCAATTAAATATTTTCTATTCTAGTACACAGCACATTAAAATATAAATCAAAGTAATAAAACATAAAAAATAAAAAAGTTTAATTGATAATTTATAAATATCACATTATTGTTATTATTATTATTATTATTTTAAAATTAAAAGAAACTTGGATTATATATATGTATATATATATATATATATATATATATATATATAGATATATAGATATATATATATATATTTCAATGTTAAATAATGTAATCTAATAATATCACTATTTTTGGTAAAATATAATTTTTTTTATAAAGATTAATTAAATTATAATACAAAGTCTACAAACAACTAAAATAATGGTATATTTTTTTAAAAGAATTTAGTTGCAATACATAGTTTTTATATCTTGGTAATTCAAATATATATGAATATTTAAAGATTTAATAAAAATATAATACAATGGCAGATAATATTTTTATACTAGATTTATATTTATTTTATAGACTTTTCTCCTTTGATTGCATTAACATACTCATAATTACAAGTTTTGCTAACATGAGTCAACCTCATTTTCTCTGTTATCTCTTTATTTTATTTTATTATTTTGAAATATCTTTATTTAATCTTAAAATATTAATTGAACCTAATTAAAATATAAATATCTCTTTAGTACAAACATAATACAAATGAGAGAAGTGAACTCTTATATTTCTTTTATTATACTCTTAGATATCTTATAATAAAATTTTATTTTCAATTAATGAATGTGTTGTATTTAATTTTAACATTTAGCACTATGCTCCTTCAAAGATTTTTTAAAGACTCAAGTCCTTCTAAAACTTCAAAGAATATTAATAAAAAAACTTAGAGATAATTCAAATAATTACAAAATATTATGACAAGCTAATATTTGATTAAACCACTACATTTCCAAACAACACATAATCTAATATCTACAACAAAAATATACAATTATACTTTTTCAAGATACAAATATTAATTACATTCTTGATGCTAATCTTGTCAAACAAGAGGTCAAGTTATTATAGATACCAAAAGTTGTTGTAGATACCCCGCCGCAGCATCGTAAAGACTCTACTGATCCACTGAGCTTAGAGAACACTTCGAAGAAAGAGTCCGACCATACCAACAGCCGAACCTAGGTTTCTGCAACAATGTGCACAGGGACAGCTTCGACTGCCCAATCATGAAGTAGGGTGCAACTTACCACTCGGCAGCGGATGTAAAATCTTGTCTGTACTTTGACCTGTTCGCATGAATTTTCCCTTCAGGGTGCTGTAACCCCTGGCGGAGATTGTGAAAGTAAAATAGCGGACGTTATGCGTCTTCCTCCAAAATCTCAGCGGCTTATTTTTACAACGAGACAAGCCCACACTTCAGATCTCCGTGCGGTTGCTAGAGGGGTTTCCGTTTCAGCTTACTACACTTCTCATGAACTGCATTTATCATGATGTTGGAAATAGGGCGGTGTGTGACTTGGGTTGCGAAATCAAGGTCAATGCCACACCTTGATAGTCATCTGGATGCCAGTTGCGGTTTGAGCCCTTGTACCGTACAACATCAGTCTTTTTCAACATTACTCCAAAAGGATATGATTTCAATTAAATTGAGCATGTTCGAATTAACATTGTACGCAATGAGTCCTTCCGTGTTCATGCCTCCAATTTCCGGAGCCACGCAGTACAGAAACCCTTTGTAGTACGCAGAGATTCGCCTTCCCCAGAGCAAGAAGTGCGGGGGTAAGCAGCTTGTAGCTTGCCACGAATTTTTCCGTGACTTAAAAACAAGCGTACTTTCCAGATAACGGGTGTGTAATAATCCTCTTGAAACCCTGGCTTTTCCCATTCACTACCAAGTGCGTGATTCCAGGCTTGTAGTCCTGGGATAGCGATGGCTTTCGCTTGAAGCTACGGGTTACGGGATTGCATACATAGTTTAATGCCGTGGATGGCGACTCATTTAAGCATAGGAGCCCGCCATCGCCAGCCAGGATAATTGAATTGCGATATGAAGACGGGATGCTGCGGAGGAGAGAGCTGCTGAGGAGAGAGAGCCGCGCTGGAGGCAACTGAGGACGGGATGCTGCGTGAGAGAAAGCCTCATGCTGTGCACTGTCTGGCAGCTGCGGCACTCTCCTTTTTCTGACAATCTGCCCAAGAGTGGACATCATGAGGGGGACCCCCTTTTTTTTTCAAAATTACTTCTTTCTTCAAATTTCATTATTGCTTCTATCATGAATTGGATCTATATGAAAAAAAATAATTTTTTTTCAAACGAATTTTAAAAAAAAGAAAAAAAACAAGATTGAATCCATTGTGGTGTATTAAAAAATTTGTGACTTTATCATTTTATAATTTTTTAGGAAAATTACTATCTTCTTACCTATTACTTGAAAAGAATTATAAGAATATTCTTAAAAGTTCAATCCTCAAATGTCTTTGCTAATGATTCACAAAAACATATATATATATATATATAATTATTTTTTTTAGGAATCATTTGTTGTGTATAAAATATAATGAGTGAAAATAAATGTGTGTGATAGAATCTTCTAAAAATAATTATATACATATATATATATATATATATATACATATACGTCTATACTAGTAGAAATCCATGTCATTGGCTACAAAAAAATTATAAAAACTTAATTTGTAGTTACTGAGTCAAAAATTGATCATTCATAAAAAAATATAAGAAAGGCAATATATGCATAAAATAGAACAATCAATATTTTTTATTTTAATTTACAAACATATTTTTTAATATTTATATAAACAACATCTAAAATAACTAAGTTAAAAGAATTTTTAAATAAATTATATTTATGATAGTATTTTATCTTCATTATTTTTTAGATATAAGATATTAATCATATTCAAAAAAGTTCATCATAATAGGACAACATACAATTGTCCATGAGCAAATATTAGCATTCTAAGATTTATTCTTACATTCTTCAATGATTGTCCTTGAAATTTGTTAAGGGCTATTGTAAATCCTACATTTATTGGAAATTGTCTTTGCTACAACTTGAATAGAATTTCTATATATGATGGACATAATATAATCCTTGGAAGAAAAGCCAATTGTCCTTTGTAGTTTTTACATAAAAATCTTATATCTATAACTTGATTAATTAGGTGCATAATGACCAATTGTGATCTATTACAAAGTCTTTAATGTGGAACAATATTTTGCAACAACATAGTAGGACATCCAATCTTAAGTTCTAAGCTTAATGGTGGAAATTTTAATAGATTTAAATTATTCAAATATTTTGTATCAAAGTTAAGACTTTTATGAAAGCAAATAAACAAGTGAATTTTTTTTAAAGAAGTATCACAAAATAGAAATAAAAAAATATGTATATTAAAAGAAGATTGAGATGGCTATTTCCAAAAGATAAGTAAATTAGAGACTTCTTGAAATTAGACTAAAAGCAAGAAAAGAGTTAATAAGAGTGAAGAAGGCTTCACTCTTGCCTCTATATATACTATCTATCTAAGAGGTATGTGGCAACATTCTATAGGATCTCCAAAAACATGTTGACTTTGCTTAATACTTAACTTGCAAGCCAAGTTTTCTATATGGACGCCACATAATTAGCTTGTTTTGAAACCTATTAACATTTATGGTATGTAATTAGCTTGTTGACTAAGTTTCTAACCTATTAATTAACTACAAATACATGTAAGGTCAAAATAGTATCCATAGAGCTTCTAGGAAGCTTTTTTAGAAGATATTATGAAATCAATTTACTTTTATTAACTTCTACTTATTTATATTATATAAAGAATAATTATAATAAATTTATATTTGTGATATTATCCTCCCTTCTATGAATAAGTTCCACTAAGAGTAGTGATTACATGTTAATGAAGTCTACAAT